GTTATTTGTATTTTTTTTTTTTGGTCATTTCTTTATTTTATTGGATAACCGATAACCGAACCGAAAAAACCGATACTTTTTCGGTTAAAAACCGAACCGAACTGTAGTTTTCGGTTCGGTTTTCGGTTTTAATATTGGTCGAACCGAAAATTCGGTTAACCGAATTTTCGGTCGATTCGGTTCGGTTTTGACCGTTTGTGCAGCCCTAAAAGCCATTGTGCTCCGCAGGAACTCATACTAAAGTAAATAGTGAAAATAATTGCAATATCATGATCCTGGCATATATAAACATAGCATGATACCGGTAACCATTGCCATCACATAACCGTTACCTCATCTGCCAGCATGAAAATGTCGGACCCCATGTGCACACTCTAGTGGACAGACTAGGCTATTAGAACCCAGAATGGACCGGCGATCATTCCAAGCAGATACATAACATAACATGACATGATACATACCTCAAACATGGTAGGGTAATTATAATCAATGTAAAACCCAGTCTGAGTTCCCACCTGAACTGCTGATATGAATCGTAAGTGCTGATAGCCTCGAACTGTTCAAACCCTTCAAACACTCGAAGAAAAATCCTAAGACTTGCGATCGTTCGGTAGCTTGCGGTAGTGTGTGTTCTTGCTTATTCGTGCGAGCATATAAGCAGTATTCCTTCTCCATGGCTAACCTAGCTTAATACTTATGATAAACTCTCTTAAAATATATCTTAAGAACACTCAATTTGCATGACCACCTCACGTAAAACTCTTATAAATAGTGGAAGGTGTATTTTAGTGAAAACTAAATGGAAAAATCATGGCCATTGAGCACTTGCCACTTGCCGTGTGTTTAGGGGCCTTGGTGTAAAATTCTTGGCTTATTCATGAGCTAAATGGCATTCAAAGACTTAGCTTAGTCACCATACATTGCTTAGTCATCCCCATACTAACTATTATGCCGCCACCTAGCCTTTGTGAAATGATGAAAACACATAACATTTTTGCTCCAATTTCTCACGGAAATTAAGATTAATTATAGCCTAAGCATGCATTATGCTAAGCTAATGAATGGTTTAATCATGGATTAATTTATGGGCTTAAATACTTAGAATTTATTCCGAGCATAAACATGACTTCGAAAATTAATTCGAACATTCTTGATTTCCAATAATTAATCCCGACTAATAATATCCGTTTATAAAAATAAACGTTTCGGGAATTAAATATCGAAATGAACATTGTTAAAATAAACCGAATGAACTTTCGACTTAAAGTCGAACTTATTTCTGAATAACTTATTCGGTTATTAAATTAATTAAACTGAATATTTTTATCGACTAATAGTCGAACTTTAACTGAAACTGAATGATTATCTTACACTTAACCTTTGACGATTAATCGAATATTCTTAATTCAACTGATACGTCAACATTGGCATAATTAATCCCAATTTACTGATGTCCATTAAATATAAACGGACTGAGATTAATTACTATCATTGACTCGGTTAATAAATAAAATTAACCGTATATACTTTCGACTTAACATCAAACTTGGAATTTAACTGACTGAATAACTTAGACTTGAACATTAACATGAATATTTATTAACAAAGGCTAGCTTTTAATTAAAAGGTAGTATTTTCCTTTATTAATAAAATTCGGGGCGTTATAATATATTTAGTATATGTTGCAATGAAAAACATGTCTTTCAAAAAAAATTATGTCTTCTTATTTTTATTTTTTTTAAGTCTAATGTGCATTGAGACGTACGTGATTTGATAGTTTTTTTTATTAATGATATATATGTCGTTCTTTTATTAATAGTATACATATCTTTTTTTTTTTTTTTTTTTTTGGTATATAAAGGTATTTGTTTTTTTTACGTATTGTTTATTTTACTTTTATTCTTTGTAAACAGTTTTACTAAAAATTAAATCATATATATGCACAGCAAATTCATTAAAAAAAACATAAAAGTATATATATAGTTTATAAATATATTATAACAGGTTACTTATATTCAAAAATTGCAATAATCTTCTAATATACCAAAACAACAAAAAACATCAGATTGCACTTTTGTCAAATTCGTTTTTAAGAAAAAAAATTCTAATATACCAAATATAAACTATGAATAAACATTGAAAACAGAAAAAACAAACATCCATTCGCAAACTAATTGTACATAACTAGTACACCAAAATAAACTAAGATGTACAATAACTGTACATGTCCCTAAGATGTACATATACTGTACATATATACTGATCATAAACTAATTTGTATAATGAAAAAATCGAACCAAACATCGATTTTCCTACTGTGAGCAGTAACCCACCAGTAGAAGAGCAGTGACGCACGCAGCCATCGTCGAGGATCTCCATCCGCAAGTCACCGAACACGCGAGGTCTGTAACTGCCGCGAACCGCTGTCGGCGTCCGTTCACCACCCGTCATCGTCGCCCGCAAACAACACCTGCTCGGGAGTAGCAAGAACCAACAGCCAGAGGGCCTTCCGCATTTGAGTAGCATCCGAGAAGCCCATTGGAACACTTTTCTCCCGTTGACGAGACCACCAGTGACGGCCCCAAATACGAACAACACCGAAGCGGAGAGCCGTCCGAGATGCCACAAGTCTCAGCCGCACCACGTCGAGGAAAGTCCAACCCGGTGCAGCCCTAGCGTCGGCGATCGATCTTCAGCCGTCCTCGCCCCCGCTGCTGCGCAGCAACGACCGCACCTTGATGGGGAGGCAGAACGCCACCTCTCTGACATCACTCCAAATCGCCGCCCCCTGAGCCAACGGCGCCCAATCCCATCGTCGTCAATAGCCAATTCCAGCCAAGGGTAATTGAGTAGTTGGAAGTGGAAGAAAATTGAAAGGGAAATTCCGTCGCCAATTCCGCACCTTGAGTGATTTTTTTATTTTTTTTTTAAATCTTATAGTAATCTATTTTTATGATCTAAGCATATATAAACTGAATGAATGATCGAATGATCTAAAGTATTTATTAACTGAAATGAATTATCTATTTTCATGAATATATACATAACCTAGTACAACGCTCGTGTATTACACGAGTGTTTGCGAATTTTTTCCTTAAAATCTAAAATTAATGAGAAAAATGAGAAAAAATAGTTAAAAATTTAAATACCTTTTATTAAAATATATATATTATTATATATTTAGTATGACACTTTTTATTTGTGTGACTTGTGTTATATTATAAAAATTTTTCAACTTACAACATATAATTACATTAAACATAAATATATCAATTGAAAAATAATTATATTTTTTTAATAAATTCTAATAAATATTATTATTTTTTATTATTATAAAAATAAATATAATTTATTTATTTTATATATACAATATGGATGTCAAATCGAAGATCATGAAAAGATGATTAATTTGATATATTATATATGTAAAACCGATAAAAAATACAAAAGTTATCAAATTTTAAAATACATTTATAATAATTGAAGGAAACAAATCAAAAAGGGTATATTATTCACTTAGTGCCTCACTATGTAAAATTACAAAGAATTAAAAGATTATATTAGTACAAGTGATATTAAAATACTTAAGTTAGCTAAATAATATTTATAGAATGTCCGAACCTAAATTATTCGTTGTTAATATATCAATATTATTTAGCCAAACCTAATTACGAAACATGATTCTTCGCCAAGCAAGATTCCGAAACACCAGAAGCAGCCACGTAGACTCAGCGCATTCGAGAATTATATACAAGAGAAGGGATGGGCGGTTGACTATTTCATGACATTATCAAAGGCCTAGAGCACGATAATGGAAAAGACCCCCAAAGAGAGAACCAAAAAAAAAAAAGAAATACCCCAAGAAAACATAATGATTTTCTTATATGAAAATACCCCAAGAGAGCACAGTTTTTTTCACATTTGGAAATTGCATCTCGATGAAGAAAATAAGAGGGATATGATACAGATAGGGAAGAAGGATTTTTTTTCCTCTCACTATTTTCTTCACCAAGATCCAGTAACCTAACATGAAATTCAAGTGAAAAAAACATACACCAAGCCTCCCATCTAAATAGAGAAACTTGGTGGATAAAACCTTTAAAAGAAAAAAACAGCAATTTTATTCATGGAATAGATAGCAGCAACAAAAGAGAGAGAGAGAGAGAGAGAGAGAGAGAGAGAGAGAGAGAGAGAGAGAGAGAGAGATAATAAGATGATGAAATTACGAGTCATTTCAAAGGAAGAAAAAGGGGGAAAGTCTCAATGTGTACTTTCAGGAGAATGATGTATCCGACTTAAATTGACCGACTCTGGCATCACAGCCTCAGAGGCCTCAGACGACACATCAGAATTAAGCAAGGGACCATACTTAACGTCTACTGACTCCAGTTCCTCGTTTTTCATACCCGTTTCCATGAGGACATCTTTGGAATGTCTTAAAGGAGCATCGGATCTTTCCGCACTTTCGTGCAGTGAAGGCTTGCCATCATTGTCCTCCTCCTGAAAGTCCATGTCAGGATCAGGCTCTACAGGTTTTTCACTTATAACAGTGCTGCCAGCCGATTGCCCAGCATCATGTTGCAAGGCCTCAGTTTTGTCATACATGCCCTGCATACGGTCTGCCGGGCAAAGCTTCTCAGTTTTATCTTCTTTTGTGTTTTTATCTTCTTGGTTTGAATTTGGAACGAGCTCAAACGGAGATTTGGGCTTCTCACCATATTCTGTCCAAAAGTTTGCTTTCTGCCTCTTATAGAGAGACATTGATTTCTGCAGATCAAGTGATGGCAAAATTAGAGAAGGTACTAAAATATACATGCAACACATAGAAACCCTCGGAATAACACCATACACTATGAAGGCAAAATAACGCAATCCACAAAGCAATAACTGCTTTTATACCCAACTTCTATGATATGTATGTAAGTACGTATATATATATATAGTATGTGATATATGTATGCATATGTATATATACCTTGGTACTAGACTGAAAATATTATACATTGTGTACACTAAAGATACTCTTAACAAAGATATTCCAAATTATATTTTTTCAAAAACACATTCACGCACTCAAAACGAAAAAATAAATGGCAGATTATTCGTGACAAAAGGTACCTTGAATACTAAATCATCAGCAGATGCAAACAGGGTAACACTCAGAAGTCCAGGCAAACACATTTTCGCTTCCGCATCCTGCCATGCAAAACCAAAACAGAAGAATAGAATTGCTGTTAAACTCTACTAAGAACACAAATAAGGCGTGTAATCAGCAAGTGCTCATTACCTCCATATACAAAATTTTGGAATGATCTACATCAGGATACAGTATCTCTTCTGCATCCATCAAACCTGCGCACTTGTCAAACAACTCTGGCTCAGAAAGATCCACCGAAAGATCGAGCTTTGAAAGGTAAACATGGCCGATGGGCATGTCATCTTTTCCCGATACCCTGGCATCAACACCGCCACTGTCTCCAGAACTAATAACAGCAGATCCAATTTCATCATTCTTTTCAACACTCTTAGCTGACTGCCCAAGCCCAACATCATCAGCGCTGTCCGCCAACTGCGCTAGGCTCTGGTCATTCAGTGGCAGCTGAACAGGCTCATGGCCCAAAACTTCATCCCCACTTCTAATCGAGTTGGTCTCCTTCTTGTAAGAAGGCAAATCAACACTCGAGGTCCTACTAGCCCCCTTCCATATGTCCCCACTAGTCTCCCAGCCTCGACTGCCAGAAATATTCCTAGCGAGGTCCCACTCCGGCCTCACCCCGAAAATGTGTGGCTCGTCCACAAACAGAGCATTACTTGTGTCCCATCCATGCAACGTGGGAGGACACGGGTCGTCCAGCTGGCTACGCCATCCCATCGGACGGCCGGGCCCCGCAAACCGGTCAGCATCCGGCAAATGATAAGGAGAGGGGTGGTGGCTCAGCTCCAAGGAGGGCCGGACGCCAAACACTGAAGGGGAGTGAAACGGCTGTATGACGGAATGGAAGCCGACAGGTGGTGGGCCATGCGGGAATGGCAAAAATCCATTGGCCATGGGGGGAGGCCAAGTTGGGAGCCCCCTCCAAGCATTATTATTCCCGTGCATTCTTCCAATGTTGGGCTCGCCCATCCTCCTGTGTCGCATGTTGGGCTTTCTCTGGCCATCATCCTCAGCCGGGCCCAATAAGGACGGAGGCGGAGGGGGCATGAACTTTGAGCTGCTGGAGAAATGACTGTTCCGGGTGAATGGAGAAGAAATGGATAAGGTGTCAGCATTGGATTGTTGCGCATGATCTTCTGAAGGGTGTATGTCAGAGCCAAATTCACGGTTTGTCCTGCTTTCTCTAGCAGGATAGTCCTTCCAGTCCCTGGAGCCACCACTCCGTTGGGTTGACTCGTCAACGTCGATATTTCTTCTTGCACTAAATTGTCTCCTGTCAACACTCGATGATGGGGATTTGTCAATTAGAGGGAGGGGTGAAGAATGAATGTCGGACTTGAGGCGCTTTTCAGCAGACAAGTCTCCCAATTGGGCACCGTCATCTTTTTGGGTGAGCTTCTCTGATGACCAAGATGGGGCCTTCTCAGGACCAGCATTGTCCCAGGACGAATTCATGCTGCGTCTGGATCTCTCTTCATAGTTGTAATCTCTGTACTTGGACTCATCTTGCTTCCCTCCCCTGATTCATGTTAAATAGATGTATGACACATCAGCTCAAGGGACATGGGGCACATAAAATGAAAAATCTAATATTTCAAAATCTGCTACTGAGCATGTCATGTTGGATTCACAAAAGATAAAACACAAAAGGTAAAGTCAAATTCAATTCACTGTTTTGTCAAGCTAGAAAGGGAAGAGCAAAATCACAGAATAACATAGAAGTTTCATGTTAACATAATATTGGTGAAACGAGATAAAAAAAAGGTATTTTAATGCACAACACGTACGTAATGATATATAAACCCTCTTAATTAACAATAAACACAACAACAAACGACATCAGCTCGTAACCTTCCTTTTCCAACGAAATCTTAAAAAACAGAGTGAAATAAAAATGAAAAAGCAACTGGACAACATGACAAGAAGGACTAGTATGACAAATTAATGTGAGTAAAAGAAATAAAAATAATTATCATATTGAGATTCATCAGAAAAAGTGTAGCAAGATGACACAAGTTGTAAGACACCATCATCATAGGAGCAGGGTTCCTTTCATCAGAACTACCGGTCAAAAGATAAATTGCCGCAGCAAAGGTAACATCTACATTCATCCAGCAGCAATTACACTTGTATGTACCAAAAACAAAGCATATTTTTATACCAAAATAATATTAAATTGAGATCATTTACCCCTGACAATCATTGGATTCCAGAAGATCTCACTTCTAATTACATGCTATCAGATACACATTTAGATGTAACGTTAAGAGACATTCATGACAGGATGAATGGCAAACCACTTCAGCAATAAAAAACTAAAGGAGTTATACCATCACACATGTAAGAAGTACCTGTAGTTATCCCTCGGTGCATGAGAACCTGAAATGGGCGAACTCCGCTTTCTACTGTAGCCAGATGTAAGTTCTACATCAACATTTCTAGAAGTAGATCTCACTCCATCACTGCGCAGATCCGTCCTTCCACTGCTAAAACTTTTCTTTTCAGCATTATATCTTTGATCCTTCAAACTTCGGGACTTAACATCGCCATAATCTTCCTTCTCACCAGTCCTCCTCCTGCCTGGATCATCTCGATACCTACCCTCTCGATCGTCGTAAGTTGGACTTTCATCATAACCGCTTGATTTCCTAACATGGTGATCAACAGAATAACCATCATCCTTATAACATTTGGGGTCGGACTTATCGCCTGACAGGTCTCTCGAGGTATGTTCGTCCCTATATTTCGAGTCCCTCGATCTCTTCTCTCTATCATATCCATCCCCTTGCTTACTGTCCTTATATTGAAGGTCTTTCTCGGTATCCTCTCGATATTTTTCTTCCCTATGTCTATAGTTTCTATCACCGTCATCTCTGTAACTACTATTCTTACGCCTGTCATCTCTGTCTCTATCGTCATAGTACCTTTCGTCCCCACGTCTAACATCCTTGTCACCATCTTCATGGTCTCGGTCTTCATGGTACTTGTCGTCTTTTCGGATTTTTCTCTCGAACCCCTCGTGATACTTTTCGTCCTTCTGCCTGCTATCTCGATCCCTATTATCACAATACTTTTCATCCTTGTGCCTGCTGTCTTTGTTGACATCTACACGATGTCCTTCGTCTTTACGCCTAGAATCTCTCTCGCCATCTTCCCGGTATGTTTCGCCGTGATATTTGTTATCCTTGTCGGCTTCTCCCAGGTACTTCTCGTCCCTCCACTTGACGTCATCCTGGCATTTGTCTGCAAAGCCTCCATCCTTATGCTTGTCGTCTCTGTATTTTGAGTCCTTTGCACGGTCAGCTTTGGATGACAACCGTCTTACTTCAGTTTCTTTGGACTCTTTGTAATATTTATCTCGTTCGCTGGAGCCTTCTCTTTTTTTGCGCAACTTTTTGTCAGTATCCTTATCCAGTTCAAGATTTCGCAAATCATTCAAAGAAGACGGATCTGCTGAGACAAGTGACTGATTCAGAAATCATATAAACTCCCATACAAGTGAGTACAGTTCTAGCAGATATTGGAAACACCAAATATACCAATTATCTAACCTGAAATTCAGCAACAAGTTTTTAGACTAACATCTTGCAAATATTTTTCTTAATTAACTGAAGTTTCGCTGCATCAACTGAAAAAGTTGATGGCAGAAGCATATACTATCAGGCCTGAGCATCACTCCAGATACAAGTTCAGGAACACAGCTTCTAATCAAATAAAGATCAACAGCTAAAACATTAAGAAACTACAACATTGAAACCTCATCATACATATAGTCATATACAAACAAGTATGCTGTATACAAACAAGAGAAGCCGCAACTATAGATGACCAAAGATTAATGGAAACACATTTGTCAAACAAATAATATATCTATGGAAAACAATCTATTTTACACGTCAGTATGCAACAAAAATTTTGAAACGTTAAAGATACTTGGAAAAATCACGCAAAAATAGGACACAATAAATCAGCCTCAAGCAATCAATAATGCAAAAGAATCTCTTGATATGTTTTAAGCAGCCTACAATTTTCTTGCGCTTTCAATATATTAATCCAGCTCTACTCAAGTTAGTTACCTACCCCTGAAGCATTTGCTAGTTAACATAACAGAGAACAGTGAGAACAACCCCAAAAGTGAAATTCGGTGCACTGCATCCAAATTTAGAAGGCAACACAATCACATTGACCGAAAATTTTGTAAGTAAAAAATCAAAAAGTTAATGGAATTGTTCAATTGGAGAAATCACCTTAAATTTTCTTCCGGGAATCAAACAGGAAGAACAGGCAATATCACCTTACTCATTCAACTTTGTTACTTCAAATTCATGAAACTTACAAAATATTTTCATACATGTACACAAAAAAAATATAGTCTATAATTATGGTGCACTCCAGATGGCGAGTATCCAGTACCCATACAGAAGAAGCTTTTTTTTATTGGAAACGGTAGGCCACTTTACTATTCAATCAACAGCCGCGGTTAGACAAATAGAGAAGATTTTCAAAGCATCTGAAGAAACACTACACATCATTCTAAGACATAGTAAAAAAA